GTGTATATGTAATATTTTCTCAGTCATTTATTTTTATTTCTGCAAACCAAGCATGCCAGTAGTCTATATTTGGTCTGATGGGTGGAGAATTTTTTTGCTCTTGATGCCCACCGTAGTTATTTTTAGTGCCTAAGATTCTAAATCTGACAAAGACTGCAGGGTACATGGTTAAAAAGGAAAACAGACAGAGCAATCCTGTTTTTTTTGTTACTGTGCAAACATCTAAAATGTTGGAAAACCTGCAACCTACCACAATAAATTTTACCTATAGTAAATAACCTATAGTTATACAGGGTAAAATAAATAAGTGATGTACTGTGTGTATTAAAAAAATGAAAATATTTTCTCTACTGTCTTACCACTGTTTAAAATCAAATGTTGTATTTGAATATGTTTTTATCACCAACTTTTCTGTATTTGTTTTATGATTTGTTGGATTTCCTTTGCTCATTGTGAATCAAGCATTTGTTTTGGTAAAAACATGTGTCTGTAATGAAGACTAACAAGGAAATAAAAAAACTGGAATCAGAGGAAGCATAAAAATTCCAACCTGGTGGTCTGAATCCATTGCATCTTTCGCTGTAGAAACGCCTGTCATAACCATCACAGTAGTCCCAGTTCTTATCCTGGTACTCCAGACCATCAGCAAAGATAAATGACCCCTTGGAAAAGAGAACATTGAAAACTTATGTTTTCCCTCATTGATAATTATGTTTTGTGTAACTCCTTTACAAATTTGATAAAAAGCACTGATTTCTGGTATAACTTGTCACTTCTTTTTATGGCTGAAACAAACAAGACAGCAAACAACCGCATTTCAAAAGATGAAAGGCAGAAACAATGCTTGCACCATTAAAGATAGTGAACACGCTGTAAAGACAGAAAATAGTTCAAGCACAAACAGCTGCATGTAAGGTCTGGGAGGTTATCCTGCATACCTCAGACATGGTTTCTGAAGAGATAAGTAGTTGCTGAGGTTTTCAAATGTCAGTTTTCAGTGCTTGTAGGACCACAAAAGAATTTATATTTCCCCCTATTGTCTGTAACGGAAAGCTCTGTGTTTACAACTTTAAGCTTTCTCTCCCTGATTCTTTCCTGAGAAGAGATCACTCAGAGCAAACACTTTAAATAACACTTCTTATTGTATATGTTTTAAATAACCATGAGACATTACAATAGATTTTGACAGAAATTGTAATCTTACTCAGACCCGAGAAATTGCTCAGGGTTACAGATGGCAACGCTTACCAACCAGGGTCCCTTCTGGAAGTCAGCCCTGAATCACAGTTAAAGAAGCATTTTATACAACTCCAGTATGACACCCTGCCATATCATCACATGTCACATTACATCATACACTTTTGCAAATGTGGGGACATTCATTGCTCCAGCCTTATGCAAATATGACACTTTGTTTTTAGATCAAAGACACTGTTTTCATTCCATTCCCAAATCTTTGCCACTTGCATAATGACGATGTTGCAATGGACTGGCGACCTGTCCAGGGTGTTGCCCGCCTTTCGCCTGTAGAAAACTGGAGATAGACACCAGGACTTATCTAATCACTACCACAAATGTACATGTGTTTTTGTCGTGATCTATGCCCTGATGTCTGGTCTGATTACTCATTTCACTAACCTGCCTATCTCCACCCAGTTCTCATTACCATTCATCTGATCCAACTGCTTCGGCCTCTATTTAACCAGCCTTCAGACTAGTCATCAGTGCCAGATTATTCATTAGAGCTCTCTAGAGTTCCTGTATGTTCTGATTGCCTGATCCTGCTCCGTTCTGCCTCTGGACCTTTGAGCCTGCCTGTCCCAGTTCTAATCTGTTTTCCTGACCTTTCTTCTGACTCCTTCTGCATGACTGTGAACCGAACCTGCAACTGTTTCCTGACTCCATTCTGGCTTTCCCTTCGGCATCCCTTCAGACCTCTGCTCTCCTGGATCTAACTCCTGAGCACGTCATCGACACCAGCTTTGGCTTTGCCCCCTGGATTATACTGCTTTCCTTCATTTGCTCGGTTCTGATCACCTGCCTGTCCTCTGAACTTCGAGATATCAGTGTCTGGGACTCTATGGAGGGCGCCAACCACGTTGTGTTGGCAGCCAACTGGCTGGAACCAACCTTACCCTCTGGGCTCTGACTGAACTATAAGACCAGAGGTTCCTGCCTTAGACACCCAACACTGTTGATTGCAGTTCCATTTTTAATAAAATTTTTGAGAAATCTGTTTGTACCCCTCGAATACTGGGTCCTATTGTTTGAGTCTGACAGTTTAAATGGAATTTTAAAATATACACCAACATAACTAAAGGAGAATTTATTTGTTATATTTTTTGACAAATACAAATCTGAAAAGTTAATTATGCAGATTCATTCAGCAACCAGGAGAACTCCATTGTGGTGCAATTATAGCTCCAATCCCCACAGGTAGAAAATTATGTTTTTGCCCATGCTTCTTTTCAAAATAGCTCAAAGTCAAACAGATTGGATATAGAGCATTTCTTAAAATCAGTTTTCAAGTTCATTTGGGAGAGGCTCAGAGTACAGCCATCTCTCCTGCACATCAAAAGGAGTCTGCATCTGTTTTCTCCTCTGATGCCTCCCTAGAGAGGTTTTCCAGGCACATCCCACCGGGAGGAGGCCCAGGAGATGGCTCAGAAGAGGCTGAGGGAACTGTGTCTCTCAGCTGATATGGGAATTCTTTGGGCTTCCCTGGGTGGAGTTGGAGGAGCAGTTTGCCTGAGACTGCTGCCTCTGCATCCCAGTCCTGGATAAGCAGAAGACGACTGATGACTTTTCAACTTTGTCATATTATCGACCACGTTTGGAATTTGCCTGGACAATTCTAACAAATCAAAAAGCTTTTGTATAAACTATTCCATTTTCCCTCTGGCTATATGTTTAATGCTGAATCCTGCAAAAGAGGTAACCTTCCCCCAAACCTCAAGAATTTTACAACTGCTTAAACATATACCTCCAAAATTGGCCTCAGGTATTTTTGGCTCCATCAATTTTTTAATCTACTTTGACAGGCTTTAAAATTTCCAATAAAGAAATACATTTCATATCAGGATGATGGTGACACCGCCATGTTCCAGTGAGGTATGATGTATTCAGGGTAATGGTGGTGTTTTTTTTGCACACATAGCTTTTAGCAGGTACTCCTAAAAGTTCCTTTTGTTATCATTTAACAGAGCTCTTTTGTTCACATTTGTTGTATCTCCAATATAGCTTGTGTTAAATGCTAGGGGCTTTACTTTAGTCAAACTGAATTCTCAATGCAATAAAATGAAGTCAGTTCAATTCAAAAATTCTTTATTAATCCTTAAGGTAAATTACATTTTTAGTTTAATTTATGTGTGTATTTGTAAGAACATCTGACATCACAGGTCTGCCAATTTTGTCATCTTTTTAATGTAATTTTTTGGCATTTGGTTTTATTTAGGGGTATGAGATTAAAGTGATTAAATACTGACATTTTCAAACATTTTTTCAACCATAATTTATCACCTCTGTTTTGTGTTGAGCTGTAGCATTAAATATCAGCGAATATATTACATTTCAGGGCTATATAATAATATGGGAAAGCTCAAAAGGGGTATGAAGAAATTATTGTTCCTTTTTTTTTTAAGAAGTTGAATTAAATAATGCAATTTCTAAACTATAGTAAAGTTAATTACCATTACTTTAAACTTAAGCATTTGCTGTAAAATACTAGATTACACATACTATACTTTTCTATAGGTTTTTGTTCTGGTCCCGGATGCAGGTGCAAGGTAGTACAAGCCAAGATTGACCATGGTTCAGAGCTGCCAACATTTAAAACACAGCACAACTGCACCAATGATTAAAAAAAGGGAAATGATAGCTTTAGTTACAAAGCTTATGAAAGATCATATCAGAGCAGGGAAGAACAAAGCAAGATCCTAGGAAATAATGGCAGCAACATAATTACCCCAACAATAATGGTGAGTGATTGCTAAAAGGGAACAGATGTAGTATGAAGTATAACCAATGGGAAGCACAGTCAGGCATGTGAATGCATGCAGTCTGAAATTATTGCAAGAAACCCACACAGACTCACAGATAACTCACCTGTTTAGCTATGCCTTTCTCCCAGGTGGCTTCATATTTACTTCCATTAGGAAAGAACAGCACGCCTTTGCCATGAAACAACCCATCTTTCATGTCTCCCACATACTTAGTGTCTGTGGGGAACGTGTACACAGCTTTGCCATCCCTTCAGAAAAAAAAGGCATATGTTAACCTAATTCCAATAATTACTAAAGGAGTATTGTTTTGTGTAAAATGTACCTTCCATTTTTTGTACTCCTCTTGTAACGGCTTCCAAAAGCTTCCATTAGTCTGAAATTGCTCAGGCTTTGCTGGAGAAAATACAAAAGGAGAAAAAGCACAAGAAACAGTCTATATCGAAAAAGATGTCATTAAATTAAGCACAATACAAAAACCACGAAGTAAACCAGGAAGTGAAAAAAAAAAGAAGACGCAAAGATTAGTGTATCGTTACCATGACAACAGCACACCGTACCTGACCGTTTAAAAGGGATTTATTTAGGTTCACCGTTTAGGCTGGGTAAAAGCAATATTTTGTTTTTACATATATATTTATATTTAATATAGTACAGAAGTATATCCGCAATGACTGAATAAATAAATATAAAGTTCACAAGTTAGCAAATGTCATTGAAAAATTGTTACAACTGTTTGTTAATGCAACACATGTGTAAGAAGCTGCCTCTAAAAATGTTAAATTGTTTTTTTGCTGTCCTAAATTAATTATTTCTGTAAATTATCCACACTCTTTTTAATTCGTTTACGCAGTCCGTGCGTAATTGCGTCATCAGTACGCCCCAGACGACGTACCTGACCTTCTCGGTTTGCCTCGTCTGTCTCGTCCCTGAAACAAACGAGAGGACGTTGGATGTTTTTTTCTCAGCGGTGATTGATTTTCGTCGCTTGTTTGAGAAAACAAGCAGTTCGCAATGCCAACAACGCTGGAAGTCCCTACGCCGCAGGAGCTAAAGGTGGATGAGGTGAGCAGTGGCTGTTAGTGCTAAGAGAAGGCATGCTAGCCAACTAGCAAGCTAACCGGCTAGCCGCTAAAGCTGTCTCATTGAAGTGTTCACAACGGTGAAAATCAATCACGAGGATTGTTAGATAGAATATGCATAAATAATATACTGCGTGCACGTCCAGTAGACATAAAATAACTAAACTTGTCTTTCGGAACAACGTTATTCCGAGATACCACTTGCTTGTTGCACGGTAAACTGGTCATATTTAAAATTTTACTTCATAGATAATGTCTAAATCTTCATAACAACCAATCTTAAAAGTTTGTTTTGCTGGGTTCGCCATTTGGGGGTTTTTGTTTTGAAACAGAACGTGTCCTTGAACTTCAGGTCATTACTTTCAGTAGTTTAGGTCATTACAAACTCAAGGATCTCATATAGTAATCCTTGGAGCTTTATTTACTTTATAAGCTTTCAAAGAAAAATGTAGTTAGTTAAATAAAAAAGCACCTGTGCTTGTATAAAATCTTTAAAATTAATATTGCTCTGTTAATTGACTAATGTGGCTGAAAAATATTTGTATCAGTAATATTTATAACATATAATTGCCATTTGCAATGTCTCTTTAATTTAGCATGATCTTTATGTGTTTACCTGAGCCTTCACTAAGCTTAATGAATCTATATATATATAGTTATCACTGCTCTACTAATGTGTAATAGTGGAAATATGTTATTTCCCATAAATTTCAAATTGATAAAGTATTGTTGAATTGAATTTAATCTAGAGCATCTTAAAAGATAAAGGGTGATACTATGTATGAAGACACTTTTTTTGAATTTATTTCCAGTTATTTATATGGTTTGGGATAAAAAAGACGTCAAGAAAAAAAATTCTGTATTTTTCAACTTTTTAAATGACAGACATTTTTCTTCATATAATAATCCTAGTTAGATAAATCACATTTTCATCAAGTAACTGATGAAAAAAAAACCCCAAGAAAACACAACTTTCAAAAGACATTTATAGATGGATATCTCTTATTACAGCACAATAATATTGTTTCATCTGCTATGTTCTACATCTATATTTCAGCCACCACTATAAAACTGATATAAAATATCGATAAACAAAATTTTAAAAATTGAAGATTGTTGTTGAAAAGTCTTCCTAAGACCAAGTTTTTCTGTCATTTCATCAGTCTTTTATCTAATATAGTTATTTATTCTTAAACAAGGTTACAATGTAGAAAAAGAAAAAAAACAAAAAAAAAAACACCCCAAAATAAAACAAAAAAAAAGAAGAAATCAAATGTTAGCAGACAGGTTGCACATGGTCTCTTAATTTCAAAACTTGGTTAAATGGATGCAGCTCTGCTCATAACTGTCTTTCCTGTGGCAAATAAAGTGTTAACCCTGGACAAACATCCTAAGAAAAGTTTGTATTTTCTGCATAATTGCTAAATTTTTATTTTCTTTGCACAATTATGTTTTGTCATTGTTCTTTGCTTTAGGTAAATGTGTCATCTGCAGTTCTGAAAGCTGCTGCCCACCATTATGGCTCCCAGTGTGACAAACCAAACAAGGAGTTTATGCTCTGTCGCTGGGAGGAGAAGGATCCAAGGAAGTGTTTAGAAGAGGGGAGGAAAGTCAATGAATGTGCACTGAACTTTTTCAGGTAACTTCAGTTTTTGAGCATTTTGTTCCTAACGTCTAGTACATAAGAACAGAAGCATTGGCTAAAAAAGCATATCATAATTGCTTGAGCTCTGTTATGTAATAGCCTCAGTGAAAGTTGACATTTAGAGGAATAGAAACCATGCACAGAGATTACCTGACTGACTGGTTTCTTAACTTTATGGCACATATTTAAGGTTAAATAATTAAGCATTTTACACTTCTAAAACAGTCTTTCTCATTGGCTGCAGAGAGTAATTGCAATGATTTGCTTTGGTTTCAAGAAGAAAAGTTCTCATGAAAGAACGTAATACTCTGCTGATTATGCAGAACAACTGTGTTTTCAGATTCATAATTTGCTCGCCTGCTCTCATCTGTAAAAGTTAACCTAGGTCCTATGTTCAGAGAGTGAATAAAGATGTGGCTAAATGCTGGTGCCAACAGAGTGCAGACTTAAAGAGTCCATGAGGAACTCTGGTCATAAGAGGTTTGTGGTCAGACTTTGTGTGCTTCTTACTCAGTGATGGACATGCGGAAAGCAAATGTGGGTTTGAGTTGCAAATGTTGCTGCTAGCGATTTGTTCCTATGAGCTATGAAGCCGTTAGATAGACACTTAAAAATTTTAAGAGTTCAATTTTTTTTGTCTTGTTTTGCTAATAGGGTTTTCTGTTTATCATGAGATGTAGAGGTTTGTAACTGAAAACTAGTGTTGAAAGACTGGAGCAAAGTGGGGCTGATGAGGTTTTAAGTAGAATGTAGGCTTGATATAGGTAAGGAGGTTTTATAAAAACAAGACTGGACTGAGACTCACAATATTTTAACATGAATGATCTGAATTGGATGAAACATTAGCCAGGTGTGAATTTTCATGCAATCGTCAGACAAATGCAAATTTGTAGTTTGTTGAAACATCTACTAACTATTGAGATATCTCAGTAATCTAACCTAGAATACTCTGTGGTGTGGATTTCTTTTCTTTCTTTTTTTTTTTTTTTTACATATTTTTTGGGCAGATTGACTTGTTGAAAAGGCAAAGTTAAAATTGTGTTTACACAGTAGCAAGCTTTCATTTTGAAAGCAGACCTATATTTCTGTAACTGGTGCTGATAGAGGTTTTTCATGTTGATAATGAAAAGAAGCCTCAGGCCTCCTCGGCAGGAAAGATACAGGAGTTTTATAAAAACTAATTCACCAGCTTTAGATTTTTGGTTATGCCTTTAATGACATCTGCATTTCTGAGACTTGTATGGATATTTAATCGTCTTTCCATTGTATAAAACAGCTTGTTCTAAAATCTGGATGAATATTTAAGGGGCTTATTTGTGCATGTTTTCAGATGTAGCTATTCACTGCTAAGGTGCGCTGATATTGTGAACCCTATACTGTATAGCCATTGATTGAAGCATAATTGTTTGTTGTTCTGTGTTTCAGACAAATCAAGGGAAACTGTGCTGAGTCCTTTACGGAGTACTGGACCTGCTTGGATTACACCAACCTGGCAGAACTCCGTCACTGCCGCAAACAGCAGCAAGCCTTTGACAGCTGTGTCCTTGAGAAACTAGGCTGGGAGAGACCTCAACTGGGGGATCTATCTAAGGTGAACACTCTTACTCTATGAATCATCATTTTGGTGCTTTCTCTGGGATTTTATTAAAGAGAATTTAAACTTTACTCATAGGCACCTTAATAGTGATAATATTGGAATAGTTGCCCTTTTTTTCAAGTTGTTATGGAAAGCTCTGTGTTTTCACCTTAAAGCTCTCTATCTAGTGTATATGTATAAATTAAACATGAGACAGGATAACACATTTTGACATAAAATGTATTCTTACTCAGTCCAGAAAAGTTGCACTCAGAGCATTTTCTTAGAGTTACAGAAGGCAGCTTTTACCAACCGGGCTAACAGCTTGTTAATGTGGACTCGAATCACAGTTAAAGAAGCATTTTATACAACTCCAGTATGCCACATCATTACATCGTTACACGTTTGCAGATGAGGAGACATCCGTGGCTCCAGCCCTATCAAAATATTACACTTTGTTCTTAGATCAAGGACACCGATCTCATTCCATTCCCAAATCTTTTTCAAATGCATAATAAAGATGAATTTTTATTCTGATGGGGGAACTGTCCCAATTTGATAAACTACTTGGGAAAACATTAGTTCTGACTCACAACATGCAGGTATTATTAGGATTTCACAGACTCAACCATCATCAATGAAATAATCTTGACAAAGTGTTAGTGTTTTATCTCTCATTTATTAAACAGCAGAGATTTTCCACGGACTTTCTCTGTTGAGGTGAAGGTTGATTAGGACTCAAAGTGTGCTTCATTAACCTCTAATTACACCGCATCAGGCTGTGCTGCAAACTTCTGAAGCCTCCTTATTTATACTGCATCTTAGCCCTGCTGAAGTGTGAAGCTCACAGGAAGTCAGATTAAAGCTCCTCCTATGGATTTTAAAAAAGGGTTTAAACTGCCACACATTTTGTCTTTGGGCCTCCAGATATTTTCTGTAGCGGGCAAGTACACTGAATGCAGAAAAAAATGATGCGTGTTGCTTATTTTGGTTCATTGCAATACACCCTCTGCCTACAGCCACTAGCCCTCACCCACTACCAAAACCCCCTGTAATTGAGGCAACAGCAGCTAGGGCTTCGTAATCTTTTTTTTTTAATTTTTTCTTTATCAGGTATGATTAGATTTTAAAACTAGAGATTTATTAATTACGTTATGTATTAATTCATTCCATAATGAAGTATTATTTTGTGACACTTATTTTGTAAAGCTACTTTACGTATTCAGTGACTTTTATTCTTTTAAGTTTTTCATTTGAAGCTTTTATTTCATGTTTTCATATTCAATTAAGGAGGTAGAGTTTTGTCGGGCAGCGTTGGTTATGATGGGCGAAGTGCATCTGCTTTGCATTTTTAACCAGTTTAAAGCTTTACACAAATAACACTGCCACATTATGTCTTTCTATGTCAGTATTAGACCTTTAACAAGATACCAGCAACCAAACAGGGAACAAAGCAAAAACACAGAATGCTTAATAAAATGTAAAATAACAAAGCGCTCTTTTGTTTTGTTTGTGCATACTGAATTTGTGCAGAATGAAAAAAGAAATTGATCTCAAATTACAAAAACAACAGTCGAAATACTGTCCAAAAATTAGAACCTTATTAGAGCATCTCAAAACTATTTGCATTGACCTTTACGTTCTGGGAATTTTAAAGAAGCTCAAAAAGTTATACAATTGAGAATATTGCCAATTTTAGAAAACACCTACAAAACCTCTAAACAAGACCACATCACAGGTATTAGAGCAACTAAAAAACATTGAAATAACGTAATAAATAGCGCCTGTGATTTCCAGCTCTTCCTTTTTCTCTCATCGGTTTCACAGCTGATTTATTTATCATTTTAATTGATGTGCGGGGAGACACTGACATGCAGGGTTTACAACATTCTTCATTCTGCAGTGGATGACTTTAGGCGAAAACTCCGAACCCACTGCCATATATTGCTTAGCTGAAACACCTGCTGTCACCGTATTTTGTTTGCTGAAGTGTGCGTTGGTGCTGTGCAGAAAATACGGGAGGAGGGACTATGATGCATTCAAAGTGTGTCTCTTAACCACTTAACATCGTCATGTGAATTTGTACTCGATGGTTGCAATAGACATTTTAAGTATTGCACGTGGGAAAACCAGGGATACATCGAGTATATTCTATGTATTGCCAACCCCTATGTGCAAGCAGATGTCACCCTGGTTGCCATACATAATTTAATTATGGTACTAAAAGTATTTTTATCCTTAAATCACCCAAAAAATTCTTAAAAACATATTAAAGGAAAATTTATACTTTTCTTAGATAATTGGATACTTTTTACATTCTCTTCATTTAAGCTGCTTGTCTAACATCATTATTGTGCATGCTCAGAGCACTCCAGCAAAATATGACTACACCGCTTTTATCTGCATTTTAGGTATTTCTTTCTTTAGATTATTCATTATATACAAAAAGTTTAAAAAATGAACCCCCGAAAAGACTATATTTATGTATAAATCCAAAGCCGAAAAAGTGAACTCTCCTGGATGTAGCATAGGGTCCCATTTCTGTTAGAGATCAGATACAGAAAAGCAATATTATTCTTTTAATAAGTCTTTGATGGTTCTGTTATCTGATATTGTAAATCAGTTGAATAAATCTAGAAAGATCAGAAGCATTCTGCAAAATGCTGCCAAAAAATGGGCATCAGTTCTTATTTTCTTCTGCTGTTCGATATAGTGAAAACTAGTTCTTGTGTTGCTCTTTAGTCAATCTTAACAACGCGGCCTGTAAGCTAAAACTCCAGGCCAAACTCCAGTTTAAGAACAGGAAATAAAAGGAGCTTTAAATGCAGAATGGAGTTAAAAAATAATGAATGCGTAAAGTAGCATTACAAAATAAAGTGTACAATAATAAGTGTCACAAAATAATACTCCATTATGAAATAAGTAAATTATCTAATTAATAAATCTAAGTAAATAAACAAATCTTGAAATAAAATAAGATGAAACATATTTTTTATTTAATGGGGATATTTGTTTATTTAATGGAATATTTATACACAATTAAACAATATCAGTATTTAATTTTAAATGAAACGGCTCTCCATGCTTAAGAGGTTTTAGTTGGCTTTAAAAAAGCTATTTTTATTTAGCTCTAGAAGGAGTGTTTCATCTCCTACCTGCAGTACAGACACTGACCAGCTGATGGCTTCTCTTCCCCTCTCAGGGGCTGTGTGCCTGGCAGGCTGCGCTGATTCTACTTCAGCCTCTATAGGCTAGCTCTGGCTAGCCGTTGACTCTCCTATCTCTGTCTCCCTGGCAAGCTTCTCTGATGTACTGCTGTCCTTCTCACAGCCAGCTGGTTTCCTTCTCCCCTTTCTTCAGTATTCTGTCTCTCCAGCAGACTTATCCAATCTCCCACTGCGCTCCTTGGGTTCTGCACAGTTGGGTTCAATAGCTAGCTCCGGTCAGCTGTAGCCTCCCCCTCTAGCTCCCTGATGGATGTAGCCTCTCCCCGCCGGTAGGGAGAGATTACTCAAGAGATGGAAGTGACTTCTGGTGCTCTTTCTGACAGTGCTCTTGCACCGTTTTCCTCCTGTCTTGTCTGAAATCCAAAACACAATCTCTCCTAACCTCTGTTGTTCTGTAGAATCAGGTGAACCCAGAACATGATGCCAACAGCTTTGTTGGCTTTCAAAAATAAAAACTAACAAAAATAGCCCTTCACCAGCTTTTCAGCGTCTGAAATTCCTCTATTTTTTAGGGCTAAAATCATACCCCTATCTGTAAAGAGGAATTGGGACACCACTTCCCTCCTGGGAAGTTGCAAAATATAGGAGTATAGCTAAAAAGTAGGGCTTGGGGTGTACTGGGATTGGGCTTTAATGTTTTGATTATCTTAATAGTTTATATAAAGCCTTGTAATGTATCTAATGTAACCAATGGCTAATATAAACACAGATTTACAAATGTATATACATAGAGAGTTCTTTGAGGAAAGCTAGCCATCTTTAGTGAATTGTTTGGAAATTCTGGACTCTGTGAACGTTCAGTATCTTTTTGGATCTATATCTTATCTGTATATTTACTGCAGTCCTCCTTTGGCATCTGGTGAAGGTAAAATCATGTCGAATTTTGCTGATTCACTATCTGGAAGGCGGTGCAAGCTCAATTCTCTCATTGATAGCAATGGTGGGGTATTTGGTGCTGTGTTCACAGTGGAGCAGAGCTGGATGCAGTGTTAATCAGGGAGTACCTTGCAGGGATCTTCTTACCCCAAAGTGTTTTGTTTTCTAAGTATTAAATGGTTGAAACCTTGATACCGATAACAGACTGAGGCCAATTGTTAATAGTAGACTGCATGAGGTCGGGATTGCATCTGCATCGTCTTCCAAATCCTGTAATGTTTTTTTGTTTTGTTTGTTTTTATAAGGTTACCAAAGTGGCAACCTCGAGGCCTCTCCCAGAGAACCCCTACCACTCTAGACCTCGCCCTGAGCCCAACCCAGCCATCGAAACCAAACTGGAGCCTTCCAAATATGGCAGTAGGTTATTCTTCTGGAACTGGTGAAACATTTCCAGTAGGAGTAAAAGAAAATTAGTCACCCTCCAAAGTCATGAGTTCTGCCCAAAAACATCAAGACTATTAATTAACAACTTTCACATGATGATGGAATCAGGTGGTTTGAATCTCTCAGGTGTGAAAACAAGCATTTTTGATGCTCCTCCTCGCACCCTTTCCCATAGATGACGTTGGATTTGGGCAGGACTCATGTCTATAATGTGTTCTTTAAGGCTGTACCCCACCAGCTTTGTTTGATAAAGGAAAGGAAAATGGTTGATTGGGAGAACAAAATAAATCAATTCATACAACTTTCCTTAACATTTCTGTAAATGTGATGATGGAACAAAAACAGATGTCAGATAATAAAGATTTAATTATAAACCCTGGAATTTGCTTTTTTTATTTTATTTATTTCCAATGCCCTCCTTAAAATATCCAGTATTCCTATGGTTAGAGAGTTGGTGTTGTAATTGCAGAGCTGTGTTTTGTCAAAAAGATTTAGGCTGAAGTTAAAGGTCAAGGCTCAGAGTTAGTACCTGCAGCCAGAAAGAGCGGCTTCTGCTTCCTCCCTTTCTCTTGGCGCTCTTCCTGCCTCTGACCTGGACTGGAAGAAGACCAGAGGGGCAGTGTGCACAGATTCACAGCAAAGGTATGTTATTGCTGCCGGCACGTGTGTACAAACACACTTTGGTGACCTCGGATCTAAGGAGAAGTGAGGCCAAGTCAATGACACACGGGCCTGTGGAACATGTGGGACTATGCCAACTCTCAAACACAAGGCGCTCACGTATAACAGAGACTTTGTCCAAACAAAGGAATATTCACATTGTCAAGTGAAAATATTTAAAAGTATTACATGTAAACACTTCACTAGAATCACCACACCTATGTTAGTTAAAATCCACACTAGCATTAGCATATTGTTATAAAACAAAACTTAAACTCTGATTGCATGCTTGACATCAACAGCAGGTTGCAAATAAAAGTTTTGGCATGTATAAGCATTTCCCTCCAGAAGTCTGTTAATTAGTAGGTATGATCCACATTAATATAATTTATTCTCAATTTAAATTTAAATTGTTAGGGGAGTGTTAGCCTAGTGGGTTAGAGCAGTGCACTTGTGCTCTGAGAAGGATCCTCACAGCCTCCACTCTTGGTTCCTGAGCAAAACCCTTAACCCCTGATTGCTCCCTGGGCACCACACAATGATAGCCCCCTGCCCCCAAAGGGGATGGGTAAAATGTAGAGGTAAATTTCTCAAATGTAAGATCAGTAAAGTTCAATTATTATAATTATGAATGGAATTTTTAGGTTTAAAAGCAGTCAAAAGGCCAAAAGTACCTTGGGGTAAACCGCATGGATCCACAGCTCAGCTTAGCAAAGTTTACTATGAAGTTTAGGGAACAGAGAAAATATGAGGAAGAATGTTTTCTGGTAAGATGAAGTTGCATTGAGGTTGCAAGCACTAGAAATGAATGTGATCATACCATTCATTCTGAAACGCAGCAGAAATATGGAGCCAAATATGATGCAGTCCTGAAAGAAAACCTGCGTAACAATGGTTCACCTTTTAGCATGGTAGACACACCTCAACTCAGAGGAATCACATTTACATTTTTAGAAGTTTATTACAAAAAAGGTTGGAAAACAAAGTAATAATCCTTTCATTTCACAATCATGCACTGGTTTCTTTTGCTCAACAATTAAGCACTTTGGCAGAGAGGGGTTGTCAGCTATTTGACGGTTATGTTTCTTTATATTAATGATAAAAGTTAAGATTCTTGTTTCTTTTCTAGATATACCAATCTAACCACTGCTGTATTTGCTGCTTTACCCCCTTGTTTTTTTAACAACAATTTTTTCCATTATGCAAAACTGCAGGTTCAGCAGGAATAAGTCAGAACAATTTTCCATAGAGCTCAATGTAGCCACTGTAAATGCTATGTTTATAATGCAGGTAGTATTTCATCACGTTTACTACGAGGTGTTAGTTATAGCCCTTTCTGAAATCCCCTCACAAGGTGTGGCCTAAATCTGCAACTTGCACAGGAAATGTCTGACAGACCCTCTTGTGACCTGGGCCGACAGACAAAGAGAGGAGCGAAGAATGGATGCAGAGGAGAACAGAGGTGTAGACAGAAGGAAGCGGTAAGGAGAAGTGGGTGTTGCAGGCGAGTGGTGGCAAGAAAAGAAGAAATAGACGATAATATAAAACTAAAGAATGACAAAAATAAAGGGAAACTGTTTTTAGGAGAAGAATAGGTTGAGAAAAAAAGCCAGGAACTGTTCAAAAGTGGATTGATGGATGTATAAAGAGCAGGAGCTGTGAGCTTGTTCAGTGGCTGGCGGTGAGGCTCGTGGCAGGACCGTCTCCATGCGTCTTGCAGGAAGCAGAGGGTCATCAGAATATGACACGGGAAGGACGCTCTGGAGCAGGAAAGAAATACAATACAAAACGTTTTTTAAAACTACAACCCACTAGAGACCCACACTGAAAAGGGACTAATGTATCCATATTTTGATTAAATAGCAGCTTGTTTAAAGCTGTGATGATTGCCATAAATCTGAAAACGGTTAATCTAAAATAAATAAATCAAAGAAAGATAACATTGTTTTCCTTTTGCAGTAATTTAAGGAATGTAAATATATGCAGAAACCGTTTTATTTAAATCTCCTTTCATATCATGCTATATTGTGTATTTGAAACGTTACCTTGAAATGTCCACATCTGTTGCATTAGTGCCTTTAAGAGGCCCCAACATGTGGGTATATTTCACTACACAAACTCTAAAACGTAGGTGCGTTTGATTTGTTTATGTTGGCACTCCCGCCTTCCTACTGGGCTCTGATCTTTACACACTACACACGGTTGAGTGTTACTTTCATGTGTCCTATCATCCCCCATCTTGTTGCACGGGTTGACTTTGATCTGCTATGCAGGTTGGTGCATAAAACACATGCCCAAGAAATCACAAGTACCACCACTGCATCCCCAACTGGCTCTCATGGGGAAAACTAATCTGGGATCTTCAAAAGATTACATTTTTACAGGAAACAGGGCAGGAGTGTGCTCACACTGCTCAACCTGGTCTGTGATCTCCTTTTGTTTCTGGGGGAAGCTTCATTTTTTACAGGAATCTTCTGTAAAGCTGCATTAGATGGACAATTAGATATACGTTTTTTTGCTCTGATATCAACTAAAGAGTCATTTATTTAGTGGCTCCTCTGGTCACAGTTGTTTCTTCCTATTGTTTTGCAAAGTTTCAAGTAATGGCTAAAAATCTAAGGGAAACTGAAGAGGATATTAAAATGGGTAATAGCCCTTATTGATGCTATTATCACAATTTTCAAACAGATTATTTTGGTTAGAAATCCTGACTCAGCCATTCTACATAGAATTACGGAGTTCTCTTTGGGTACAGTAGCTTCCTTTTTACTGTTAGCACTGTATATAAACCATAAACTGACACAAAAAAACAATCACATGAATTTACGAACAGTATTGCGCTTGTAGGTTGCAAATACCTGGTTCGATCCCCTCAGCCTTCACTCTTGGTTCCTGAGCAAAACCCTTAACGCCACACTGCTCCCTGGGCGCCACACAATGGCAGCCCACTGTTCCCCAAGGGGATGGGTCAAATGCTGAGAGTGAATTTCCCATTTTGGAACAGTAAAGGAATTTACATAAATAAGATGACAAATGAAGAATTCATGCTTTTTTTTTTTTTTTTTGTTTTGAAAGAGTTATTTTGTGTGTATTATGGAGGAGAAGGTAAAGTTATGACCTTCCTAGTCATCTAGGAGTCTTCTGTGTAAATATAGATAAATAACTGCTCAACCCAATTTAAGGTGTATACCAAGCAGAACCATAAATGATTAGTTTAGACTGAGATGTTAGATGTGTGTAGATTTTTCATCAAGAGCTTAACCTCGTTCATTTTCCTGTTGGTACAGTGTGAAAAATGTAGATTGGCCCTAAACTGGTTTTGGCATCTATCAGTTTTTTTAGTCACCCATCAGTGCATGTTGGGCTCTGCCTGGCCAGGCCTCTGAAAATGTTCTGCCCCCACCACTAAGTATGAATGGATGAAGATTAGAAATAGAGCTATGTTTCCCTAATGAGAATTAAAAGAACACTCAAGGTGGAAATATTGCTAAGGACTTTGAGGAAATATTACAGCAACACAGAACTGTTAGAGTGCATTTGACTTGATAAGGGTTATTTAACCATTAAATATGTAATTCTTTCCTTTGTTTTTTCAGTTGTTTTAATAGAAAGTAAATATTAAATTAAAAATACTTTACTTTTTAAGTTATAGATATCATTAAAGTTTTTATTTGAGGAAAGAATAAGAACATCCCAGCCTCCTTCGCTGACATAAATTCAGTGAGATTTCTTCTTGTTATCATTTCCAGTCTCTGCCGTCCATTTAACAAAGGGTTCAATGTGGAAGACCCTGATAAGCCTCAAGTGACGCACCTGCTGGAGCCCTGCGTCCAAGTAGGGGGATTCAATCTCCCCTTCATATTTCCTCACATGGAAAAGTTTTCAATCTTTTCACATCTTCCATTGAATTTAAACTTGTGCAATCCATTTCTGAATTCAGGGTTCAGAAAGGGATTTACTAAATATCAGAAGAAATTAAGTTTTAAAAAGCTAAGAAACAGATTTCTAATAATAAAGAATAACTAGGGATAATGTGGGTGCCCAATTTCATTGCTCAGTAGAAATTGCACATTTTTAAATTGCATATAGAATTTAGTTTCATTGTCTTTTTTTTAAGTTTTATTGTATCACATTACTACAAATCCTTTGGTAGACCTATTATTTAAACTGATGTTCACATATGATGGTAATGCAGAAGAGAACTATTGTAGGCTCTCCTAATTTTTTTACATGACTGCATGTATTTGAGTCTGTGTGTAGACCTTTTGAACACTGGTTGGATTATGGAAAATCCTCCGCAAATTTAAACTTGCAGCCCAATTCGTGCATTTAATTGCAGTTGTTTGCAAAGTTATCTCAAACTAGACAAAGAACAGTTCAAATACTAAATCATCCAAACCACAGAGACTGTACAGTCTAAGCTCAGTTGTTGTAAGAAGAAACTCTAGCCTTTAACACATTGCTGAAAATACTCTGAAGTGTTCTTGACGTAGTTTTCACAGATGCTTTAAGTAATCTTGGCTTCTTTTTATAAGCTGTCTGTTTTTTGACAATAACATGCACACAACTTTAACAAAAACTGAGCTGATTCACATTGGTCCTTCAAAGCATGGTGACAGAGTGATGACCATGGCTTGTGTTTTGCATTCCAGCTTAGCACGCTTCACAGCCACTCTTTCACGCTGCAGTTTTGCCTCTGAATGCCACTCTTAAG